CTGGCCGCTGTGATACAATTGTACAACAACAACAACAATAATAATAATAATAATAATGGATTTAATGCCAAATCCAGTCTAAACATCTGGCAATTGTGCAATAAACTATCATCATCATCATCATCATCATCATCATCATCATCATAGAAACAATGATATCATTTCAGGAGTGATATTTATGATTAAATATATGTTTTCTGCATTAAACCATATGCTATCTACATTATTCTTTTTCTGTTTGAACGCTACTAGAAATACTACTGGAGAATGCCGCACCGTTTCTTCTATACTGCATAGTATTGCCATATTACTAAAAGATCTGGCAGGTCTTCCTGATCTAAATGGAGCAAATCAATCAAAGAAGAAAAATCATCAATTATCTAATGATTTATCTTTGATATTTTTAATAATGAAAAATCCGATATACCAGTAATTTATATTATTATAAATAATTGTTGATCTCAACAATTAAAGATGCCTACTCCAACTTACCTGAATTACATCTAAAGATTTAAAATATAAAAATGCATTAAAATATGGTGTTGCTTGCAGTTCTTTTTACTTTATTCCTTTCATTTTCTACCTAGGTTATTCATAGCAGCTAATGCAGCAAATAAATAGTATATGCTTTGAGCTTATTAAATTACAAAGTATAGATCTCAGAGTCATAAATATTTTATCTTTCCATACCTTTTCCTTTTTTTATGGAGTAGCCTGTTTAATATCTCTCTCTCCTTGAGTGTTCTGACATTTACTTAGACAAATAGCAAAGGTTATGAATGCTATTTGTAGATAATATCAGGAATTCTTCATAATGGCATAGCATTGAACCAAGTATTCAAATGGTGGTAGATTTATCTAGGAGGAACTAAGTTTGGTCTGTTTAACTTTTCTTCATAAAAATGGAATTCCCCTTATCACAGTCCAACAGTTTAACTGTTCTGGACAAAATCATAAAGCAGTAGAATAATAGAAATAAATATTCCAGTTGCTGAACTTTATGAATATAAGGTTATATAAATACAGCTACTTTTTAAGGAAAAATTATTTCAGTCTTAGTCTGACAGAAGGTGATGTTACATTTCTAACCTATAGTTCTCTTTAAATGCTGATGCTGAAGTGCATGCAATGAAGCCAGAATTTGTTTAAAAAAATGCTACTGGACAGTAGAATCAAAATAGCAAGCATGATATTCCTTCTATTTGCTCTTGCCTAATAAGCATTGCCAAAATGCTGGACTTGCTGACATGTCATTTCCTTTTTCTGTTTAGAAGACATGTAGCAATAGCAATAGCAGTTAGACTTATATACCGCTTCATAGGGCTTTCAGCCCTCTCTAAGCGGTTTACAGAGTCAGCATATCACCCCCCTCGGAAGGATGGAAGGCTGAGTCAAATTAGAACCGCTGAACTGCAGATAACAGTCAGCTGAAGTGGCCTGCAGTACTGCACCCTAACCACTGCGCCACCTCGGCTCTTGTATGTATAAGGTTTTGCGGTGGCTTATCATCTTTTGCTTCAAAGGGATTGTGCTTTACATGGCATCTTCTACTCCTAGAAGGTGATAGGCTTCTCCCCATTAACTAACAAGCAGAAAGAGAGAGGTGAATACTAAATCAAATATCTTTGGAAAAGAAATTATTGCCAAGAAAACTGTTCAGGCAGCCTCCAAAAATAAAGCAGAAGAGTGTGTGTGCATGTTTATGTGTATATGTACAGCACTGTGCAAAAGGGTCTTAAATATCTTATTTGTATACAGCTTAGATATGGTGACATAGTGGAAGCTAATTCTGCTAACTGCCAACTGCCAGCAGTTCAGCAGTTCAAGTCTCACAGGTTCAAAGTTGACTCAGCTTTCCATCCTTCCAAGGTCAGTAAAAGAAGACCCAGATCGTTGGGAGCAATATGCTGATTCTGTAAACCACAGATAGAGCTGTAAAGCACTGTGAAGTGGTATATAAGTCTAAGTGCTAATGCTAGTACTATAACTTGTTCTATGTTTTTCTGTAACACAGGCCATATGCAGCAGCATTGGTGGTGGGCAGTGACGTGCAGTCATGGGGGACAGGGGAGGCAGGAGAACGACGTGCCTCATCTAGTCTAACTTTAGGAGTTTTATGATCACTCAAGCAGAGGTTAAAAGCCTAAAAATTCCTGATGTAGGTGAGACACGTCGTTCCCCTGCCTCCTCCTGTAGAGGGCACTTTTTTAGATGCTTATTTTAAACAGTTAAGCAGAGTTATCCACAGTGAGGCAGCAACTATCTCAGCCTGACCTCAGCTCTCGCCTTTTTCCTTTTACATTTTTTTCTTTTCATGATGACAGGTAAGAGCAGAGTTGAAATTCTCTCTGAAACAGCTGGAAAAGG